AAAAACACCTTGGGAGAAAACAGGGTTCAGTCGGGGGGCCGGTTCTCCTCTGGCCGACGGACACGGTGTCATTATGATTCAGGCTGCATCACAAGTCAAATTTCAGAATTGGATTGCTAGCATTCAAATATTCATCCAGTTCCTTTTGATTGAAGTTTGATTAATCATACCGGTATGGAGCCAAAGCTGGCCACGGGGTCCGTGCAGAGGACCTGTCTGGTTTTGTGGTCTTAAATGATTGCTCTGCTCTCATCCAGATTCAGTTTTTTATGGCTAAAGTAGGTGTAAAATGGGACCATTTCCAGGGACAGCTCCAATTTGAGGACAAGACAGCAAAAACGGCCCTATCCTCAGAAAACAGGGATGTCTGATCACCCAAAGCCATAAACAGAACAGAGCGTTTTACTGGTATTCTTCTAGTTATTTACTTATAGCAGCTAATGAATCAGAAGTCTCAAACACTGACAGGGAATAACTTCTACGTTGAAAAATAAGGTGGATAAAAGTCCATATCTGAGTGAACCGCTTCTCAAACAAGAGAAAATGTAGAACGGGGCTTGACTGGGTTGATTGGATGGTTTATGGTTTGCTATTGGTGGATATCGTATGAGTGACAGGTTGTCCGGCCCTCAGACCAGTAAACACGTCATCAGAAATGATTACGAGATTATTAGGTGTTCAAGCACGAAGTGCTGAAAACCTATTGTATTTGCTAGAAAGAAAAAAAAAAATCCCCTAAAACGCATCGTGCAGCCCAAACCGTAAGGGCTGGAGCTGTGAAACTTTGTCAGATGGTAGGGCCTCGAATTGTGGAGAAGCTATCAGAGTAGCTGTTTTTAGGTGGCGCTACAGCAGCCAAAAGTACTAAATTGCTCATAACTCCTAGACCGTTTGACTTAGCTTCAATGTTTTTACACCACTGTAATCCCTGGCTCAAGACGGACAAGATGTATATCTCTTTTATCTATATCTCAATTTTTTTATTTCGGTTTTTGTCCAAAACCCACTTTTGCAAACTAGTCCCTGGTTTTTTGCCCAATCGGGACCAAACCAGTCTAGGCCTATTCTCTGGACTCTCTCGATCAATAATTATCGAAAAAAAAGTTGAAATTTTGCATTTGGTTGGCTGTAACAGGCTCATTTAGATAGTGGTCTGTGGCAAAATTCAGTCAAAAGCCCCTAAATCCCCCCAAAAAGTCACAACTTCACAAAAATCGGTGAGCATATGTGTCCTAACATGGTTAGGAAGCATGCAAAGTTTCGTGAGGATCGGATCATAGGTGGCGCTATAATCGCGTAATGTATTGATTGTAAATGGTGTTTTACATCTATTATGTCTGTGCATAAATGCATGTTAAATAAAATTGAATGCCTTTCAATGCTTTTGTGCTTAAAGGCCTGAACTGCTTGAACACCGATAAATGCTGCTTGCAGCTTTAATTATTATTAGTATTTTAAATATACGAGGGCACATTGATTAAAACAAAGTACAGATAAATAATTTATAAGAAATACTGCAATATTCCATGAACAACAAGAATTGTCAATTTTGATATCATGTTGTATAATCAACAACTATATAAGTATACTTGAAATATATTGTTCCACAAACACAGTTGATGAGTAAAATATATCTGTGGTTCTGTTTCCACAGATAAAGAGCATAACTCCCGAGCTTGGTCAGTGACAGCTCATTCTCTGCTTTTATGAACTCATCACAGAGGAACACCTACATTTTAGTGCTAGATACAGATTCTCCCCTCTCGTGCTGAAACAATGCCGTGCTGACCTATAACTTGTGGGTCCCTCCACTTGATGAATTGTGTCATCCCGGTCCACAGAAGTGCTGACCCGAACGCAAGTTGCTCGCAATGATTTCCTGTAGTTGGCAGAACACAGTGAGTGATGAATGAACATCTCTGATCCATCAATCCCGGGGCCTGGAGTCAGGTGCCCCTCGGTCTTTTCGAAGAAGTATAATTCCACTTCCCTCATCTCGGTCTTTGGCCGGGTCCCTGCGAGCTGCTCGGCTTTGTCATTAAACAAGGCAGGAAGTAAAGGATTTGATCTCCTAAAGGATTTGAGCCACTAAACATTTTCAAGCTTTACACTTGAAGAATAGAATGTGGACGCAAAAGCTGGTTTTAGTGGTTGTGCAACTTTTAACACTTCTTCTCTACTTGCTCTAATTGCTTTGATAAAACATTAAAGGGATAGTTCACTTTGAAATGAATTTTTGATATGTTTTAGCTTACCTCAAGGGGATCCAAGATGTAGGTGTCTTTGTTTCCACAGCATTTTCAATTTTTACATTTTTTGGACAATCCGTTGTTGTCTGTCAGTCATACACTGGAGGTCCTCAATCGGTTCACCTCAAAGAGCATGCGCAGAGAAGTCCAAATTAAACATGATTTAATGACTCGTACATGTAAGTACACATTAATGGCCTAAGACACGAAACGAGCAGTTTGTGTGAGAAAACGAACAGTATTTATATCGTTTTACCTCTTGTAATCATAGCCATGACAAAATGATCTGACGGCAATGCCGGAAATGATCGCTTGCGCGCCTACGTCACTCTTTGTTTATACAGAGATTTCGGAAGTTTTACCTTTCACTAAACATATTTAGATATGCGGCAAACCGCAATGAAAGATGATTTCGGTATATCTAAATATGTTTAGTAAAAGGTAAAACTTCCAAAATCTCCGTGTAAATATTGAGTGACGTCACACGCAAGCGATCACTTCCGGTGTAACATTGAACTGATTCAGTTCGGTTCAGTTGGACATTGAACAACTGATTCAGATCACTTGGATTACACAAGGTAAAAACGATATAAATATTGTTCGTTTTCTCACACAAACTGCTCATTTCGTGTCTTAAGCCATCAATGTGTACTTACATTTACGAGTCATTAAATCATGTTTAATTTTGACTTCTCTGTGCATGCTTTTTGGTGGACCCCCTAATGCTACGTTCACACCGGACGCGAATAGGGCGTCAGGCGCGAATGATTTCAATGTTAAGTCAATGCAAAGACGCTTTACGCGCGTGAAAAATTCCTGCGGCGCGAATGAGGCGTGGGGCGCGGAAGACGCGAATACGCCTCATTCGCGCGTCAAGTTAGCGCGAATTGAGCGTTGTGCATTCACGCGTTTGACGCGAATTCGTGTCTGCCGCCCGAGTTGAAAAATCTGAACTTTGCCGTGAATTCGCGCCGCGTTAACCAATCAGGAGCCCAGCTGCTTGCTCACGTGGTGAAGTGTCTGGATGCTTCAATAAATTATTTTGTTAATATTACTAAATGCATGGTGGGATTATGCACAACAAAGCAAATGTTTCATCACTTAAAACATTATTTCTATATAGGAGATTTTATGTTCATTTTGTATTGAATGTTATTCATTCCATATCTAGAAATAGTATTATGTTGTAAAGACAATCAACATATGTGCATAAATTCGTGTCTGGACGTGAGAGAGAGAGAAAAAAAAAAAAAATCACAGGACAGGTTAATAAGTTTTGAAGGCTGGCTCTATTTATCATCAAAACAAAAATAAATGACAGCTAGATTAGATGGATGAGGGCGAGGGTGATCCTCGCTCAGATGCGGGACAACATGTCATCAAACTGGGCGCGTGACAGGCGGAAGTACCGCTGACAGCGGCCGTCATCCAGCGCAGCTCCTGGAGCGAGCAAATGGTGAAACTCGCCAAACGGTTCGGCTCTGAAGGGTCCGGTGGACACAAATATACGGCGATGATGATCCCCACGCGCTGTTCTGCTCTCCAGAGTAAATACAGAGCGGTAACTCTCTTGATGAATGCTCGGTCGACATAAAAACAATGGCCGCCAACGGATTTTGATTCTGACGCGCGTAAATTTCGCTTCAAACTTTACGCGCGCCAGTTTCGCTCTTGACACGCGAATTAACACTAGTGGTCAAGCGTCAAACTAGACGAGTCAGACGCGAATTTGACGCGCGATTCGCGTCCGGTGTGAACGTAGCATTAGCCTCCAGTGTATGACTGATAGACAACAACGGTTTGACTGAAAAATGTCAAAATTGAAAATACTGGGGAAACAAAGACACCTACATCTTGGATGCCCTTGATGTAAGCTAAACCATATCAACAATTAATTTTAAAGTGAACTATCCCTTTAAAGGCCAATTCAGAATAGACATTTTCAGTGATTTGCACAAAAAGGTGCCAATTGCTTTGTGAGATGTCCATTGTAATCCAGTAATAATAACCTTCTCCGGGCCCTTTCATATAAAATCATGTAACAGGCCGCATTGAAGAAAACGGCAAAACCAGCGCAGTCTCATCCCAAGAGGTCATACAACTGACGCTTTTCACCATACGTCAACATCCGCCGTTTTAAGGTACCCTTAAACGTCGGTTAGAGGACGTTATCGAATCCTAACCCTACCCCAGACCTAAACCTACCCAGTCACCTAAATTACGTTAAAGGTAAAGCGTCAGTTGAATGACGCCCCAGAATCGTCATCTAACCGACATTTAAGGGTACCCTAAAACGGCGGATGTTGACGTATGGTCAAAAGCGTCAGTTATATGACATTTTGGGATGAGACTGTGTTAGCGAAACCATGTATTTTGAGCAAATCTTCACATCTTCCTAGCAAGTTACAGCATACCAAGGGTGGAGCTATGGGGACCTCTTAGTCCACCCCACTCACAAATGCTGTTTCTGTGTATTTTTTCTTGACAAGAATTGCGTTTATTTAGAGGTAGTCTCTTTACGACCACAACACACAGGAGACATTTCAGGCACGCACAAGAAATTTGCCTCAGTGTCAGGTGCAAGTCAAACGAGCACTGAAAAGGTACAAGTGCCCCAGGAGCTTCCGCAGATCTACAATCTGGTTTACCTTTTTTAGATGCAAGTTTTTGAAACTGGACGGGCACTTCCCTGAGGACCGGCATCCGGGATGTGAGCCTTGGTGCCATCATTAAAGCCATCGTACAAGAAGGCACACAGGGAGTGATCTGGAAAGTTTGTTAAGCCCCACAGGTTGAGAAATCCATGGATGTAGTCTTCGAGGCACTTCTGCTCCTCCTCCATGCAAAGCAGCTAGATAGTAAGTACATCTTTTTTACAAAACTCAGTATTGAGTGTCTTTCTTCTGTAACGCTGACAATGTTTTGTTAAAGCTTTTTTTTTGTCATGATTTGAGCATTGTCAAGCTTGGTGAGTAGCTTTAGATAATTTGATGTGTTGAATTACAAATTGATAATTTGAATTATATTAGAATGACATGACATCTGCTTTCAATGTCTCAGCCATTTCATTAGAAACACTCTCACCACAGTTTTTTTTTTTTTTTTTTTGTCATTTACTTTTAAGGTAAAATAAACACAACGTTTAGTGTTATAATTGTATTTTCCATGTTTTTCTTTGCTACATTTGTCAAGTGAAGTCAAGTCACATTTATTTATATAGCGCTTTTTACAATACAGTTCGTCCCCTTGGAATTATATCTATCTGCGTTCTGAACAGTTTTGAGATATTGAGCTTCAAAGTTTTTGTGTGTATGTGTATGGGGAACAAGTTTCTTTCAAACATAAAAATAACAGGGACCCTAAATGTACAAAACTCATCACATAATGTAAATAAATTGTCACAGAATAAGAATATGTGAATAACTCAATTTTGACAAAAATGTCAGATAGAACCTTATAATTCCAACGGGACGAGTTTGTATCAAAGCATCTTCACACTGATAACATGAAAATAATACAATAAGTTTGTTTCTAGAAAAACATTTTGTCAATGTCCTCCTTAAGTAGATTAATAATATTGTTGAATAATAAATGTCCCCAACTAAGAAAGGCAAAAACTAAGGCAACAGTGGCAAGGAACCAAAACTACATCAGGTGACAGAATAGAGAAAAAAAAAAAAAACCTTGGGAGAAACCAGGCTCAGTCGGGGGCCATTTCTCCTCTGGCCAACAAAGAAACAGTGTATAATTCAGACAGCATTACAAGTCAGGTTGGATCGGAACATTTAGAGTATTTGTCCATTTCCATCTGTTTGGAAGACAAAGTTATTACGCCAGTATGGAGACGAGTTGTCGTGTCAATGAGACAAGTACTTAAGATGAGTTGGGATGGGTCTAGGCGCAGGTCCACAGATGGTCCCTCAAGATAAACAGAGAAGCTAATATGAGCGTAGACGTCATCCTTCTTATGATGTACCAAGTACATCAGGATTTACGGGATGTGTTCCCTGTTCCAGTTGATCTTGCTCTCCAGTTGATATCTTACAGTTACTGTGAATTTGGCCTCTAGTTCATAAACACCAGAGGAGAACTGGCCCCCAACTGAGCCTGGGTTCTCCCAAGGTTTTTTGTAATGCTTCCTTTTACAGTCCAGTTACCCATGCAAATACTATGTACTTATTTTAGTAACTACAATTACTGGGTAATAACTAGTACTAAACCTACCCCTGTTCCATGTACTTACCTTATATTAGCCAGTACTTTCTAGGTAAGTACTGTACTGTAAAAGGAAGCGTTACCGGGTTTTTTTTTTTCTCCATTGGGTGATCTGATGGAGTTTTAGGACACCATCGGGTCACTTGATGGAGTTTTTCGGTTCCTTTGCACTGTTGCCTTTGGCTTGCTCAGTTGGGGATATTCAAATTAAATGACCCATCATACCATTGATCACCTCTACCAAACTTGATTGTCTTTTTTTCATGAATAAACAAACACTGTTATGTTGTCTTGATTGATACTGTGAAGCAGCTTTGATACAATCTGTATTGTGAAAAGCGCTATATAAATATATTTGACTTGATCTAAACTAGCTTAATTTTGAATAAAGGAAGTCTATAGTGTGTTATGTGAATGCCTGGCCAAAGAGATGCGTTTTTAGTCCGGATTTGAACTGACAGAGTGTGTCTGCTTCCCCGGACAATGTTAAGAAGATTGTTCCAGAGTTTTGGTGCTAAAAAGGAAAATTATCTAGCGCCTGCAGTCGATTTAGATATTCTAGGTATTATCAACTGGCCGTAATTTTGAGATCGCAATAGACTTGAAGGACTATAATGCGTTAAGAGCACACTCAAGTACTGGGAAGCAGAGGTGGAAAGAGTACTGAAAATTTGTACTCAAGTACAAGTACAAGTAGTTGCTAAAATAATACTCGATTACAAGCAAAAGTACTGGTGTTAAAAATGTACTTAAGTAAAAGTACAAAGTACCCCTCTCAAAAACTAGTCAAGTACTAATTACTAATTACTTTTAGCCTGTGATATTTATTTACTTTTATGGAAACCAAGTTATAAAAATGGTCTAATATGATTATTATTATTAATGAATTATAATGCAAAATAAAGAAGCTTATTGGGTTATTTTATTCATAAACTTCTTTTTTTTTTCTTCTTTTTTTTTACAGTTAAGATTTCCAAAAGTACTCTACTAATATTTCAAAAGTTTCAAAAGTTATCAGCATTTAGCACTGCCACAAATGTGCCATCTAGACAGACTGTCAATTAGTGCAGTTACACTGTTATGCCAGTGGGTCATGGCCGGCAAGATACTCTTTTTATGAAAGAGTCATTATTAAACTCTTCATTCTAAGCTTAAAACACGGATTCAATATTAATAAAACAATGTGTTGACAATGACATACAATATAACTTTTTAATCTAACTTTACAATGCTAAATCTTTATTACGGTATATGTGCTTGTCACCTGAGTAACGCTGAAGCCCATGTTTCAAGTGATGTTTTTAGTCAAATTATCATGAGGTCTACCCAACTTTAAAAACAAAAACAACTGAACTATCACATATCACTGCAGAAACAAAGTTTCTATAAAACATCTCATTTCCTTCCTCTGTATAAGAACAACTCCTCCATGTGGGGTCATGGGCACTCATCATCTGGTATTTCTTCAGAATTTTCAATGAATTCAGCGTCTCGAATCTCCATGTCCATAACGGCAAAGTTCTTTGATAACACTAAAATACAAACTGAAGGACGTGTGAGGACGAATATAGCTCTCCAGAAACCGGGCTTTTTTCCCGCTCCAAATGGTTTTTATTGGCCCGCCCACGATCAGTTATTTCCATTGGATACCCAAATGCTGGTCAAAGATTTGAATAATTGTTGAATTCAAATTGTACAAGTACTTTGTAATTAATGGGATTTTTAAAGTAGTGAAGTACATTACTTAAAGGAACACTCCGACTTTTTGGGACTTTAGCCTATTCACCTTACCCCCCAGAGTTAGATAAGTCCATACATACCTTTTTCATCTCCGTGCGTGCTATAAGTCTGTTTGACGCACCCACCGCTAGCCTAGCTTAGCACAAAGACTCGATGTGACTGGTTGCAGCTTTCATACTGATCCAAATGAGTGGCAAAATAACGCAAACGTTTTCCTATTTACATGTTGTGATTTGTATAGTCACATAATGTACAAATAACAAAGTCAAATGAGACACAGACATCTTTTAACCGTATAAAACCTGGGAACTATTCTCTGAAGGCGAAGCACTGCTACTTTGACGGCGTAATAACCGAATCACCGGAGACACGCCGTGGTGAGGAGCGGAGAGTTCGCTCGGTGTTTGGGTAATAGAGTCAGCAATTTATAAATAGTAAAAGCGTAGTTTAGAGTCATGGGTTTTCGCTCTATTGTAAATAGCTGCGACAGTAAACAGGGGAGGTAACCATGTTTCACAGAATTCCAACTAAAAACGCTGACTGGATGAAGAAATGGCTAACTTACTCTGGATATTTATCCAAACACACCTAAGATTATCAAGGGACATTATGTTTGCTCGGTACATTTCAATGAGAGCGACTATTTTGAAAAAATGGAATTTGCCACACGGACCATAATGTGCTGAAGGATACGGCCATCCCATCGATAGCACAGACAGGACAAGTGGATCACCTGCGGCTGAGGTAAGTGTTCCGTTATGTTTTTAGATGACCTACTGTAACAGTGCCATTATTAGCCAGATCTAATGTAACGTTAGTGACACTATTATATGATTAGGGTATGAATATGTTTTTATCTTGATGCGGTGCGGACGCGCTTGGGAAAAAAAAACGAGCGCGTTTACCGCGTTGAACTTGCACCCTGCGCGCGGCGCGCCTAGTAGCCTAAATTTGAAATAACCATGGAAATAACGAACTTGAGCGTGCAAAAGGGTACGATAGGCTGTGAGTTCATTGTGCAAAAACAATTTGTGCTATTACTTTCCCCTTATTCTATCCTATAGTAATGCAATACTGTATTATATAGGCTACTGTTGAATACATTTGGTTCATTTGGTTAAATTGCATTTAAAATATATTGATTCCTGTAATAATAATTATTTATTCATGTGATATTTATAAATCTGGGTGCGTTTTTGGTTGGAAATCAATGAAAAATGGTACTGTATTACCTGGTCTCCCCTGTTTATTGTCACAGCTCATACAATAAAGCAAACACCCATGATAAACTATGCTTTTCTATCTAACGTTAGTAATTGCTGCCTCTTTATTCCAACGCTGAGCGAAGCGAACTCTCTGCTCCTCGTCACGGTGTGTCTCAGGTGATTGTCATCACTCTGCCCAAGTAGCAGTGTTTCGCCTTCAGAAAATATAATATTTATACGGTCAAAAGATGTCTGTGTCTCATATGGCCTTGATATTTGCACACTCTGTGACTATACAAACCACAACATGTAAATAGGAAAACGTTTGCGTTATTTTGTCACTCATTTGGATCAGTATGAAAGCTGCAACCATTCACATCCAGTCTTTGTGCTAAGCTAGGCTAGCGGTGGGTGCGTCAAACAGACTTATAGCACGCATGGAGATGAAAAAGGTATGTATGGACTTATCTAACTCTGGGGGGTGAATAGGCTAAAGTCCCAAAAAGTCGGAGTGTTCCTTTAACTTAATTTGTACTCAACAAGGAAAATTACAGACTAAAAAATGTACTCATAAAAGTACAAGTACACGAAAAAACTACTTAATTACAGTAATCTGAGTTCTTGTAACTCGTTACTTCCACCTCTGCTGGGAAGCTAAACCATTTAGTGCTTTGTAAGTAATCATTTGTGACGTTTTT